CCCCAAATCAACTTTTTTTTTTTTTTTAATTTCAGAATTTCCTCCCCACCCCCCAAGTTTACACTTTTAATTAAAATTCTGACCCCAGCCCCGCAAATCTGATTTTTTTTTTTTACCTTGGAAATATTCTCCCACCTCTTAAAATTTGCATTTTCACCCCCAAATCTGTATTTTTCACCTTGACATCTGTTCCTTTTACCTCAGGGTTTCCTCCCACACTCCAAAATCTGCCCTTTTCACCCCAAAATTTGTCCCCGGACCCCAGAATCTGATTTTTTTTTACCTCAGAATCTCCTCTCACACCCTAAAATCAGCCCCTTTTTACATCATAAATGTTCACCACCCCCAAAATATTTGCCTTTTCTTCTCTAAGGGGAAGTGGGATGATAAGGAACAAGGGGGAGACTAGGTCCATCTCTCCCTGCCTTTTCATACAGCAAAGTCCCCAGGACGTGAGAGGGTTGCAAAGTTCAACCAAAGCTTGAAGTTTTCTCAGATTAAGGTATTATTAGATTAAAGTATCACTAGAAAGCACCGAGTTTCTTTAAGCCCAGCTTGGGCTGCTGTTTCAAGGTGGTGTTTGGCTGTCCCTGTAAAACATGACGCAGTAAAACCCTCTGCAGAAAATTGCACCAGTGAGGTAAAGGAAAAAGGCACTAATTGGAGGAAATTGCTAGAATTTCTGCCTTGGATCAGCCAGTATCCATCCCTGAGTTTCTGAAAAATGGCAAAGCCAAGGGCTTGGAGAGCTGGCTGAGTTCTTGGCTTGTTTTTGCTGCTTCCCGAGGAATTAACCACGTTGGTATCGAGGCTTGTGAAGGACTGGGATGGTGTGAGAACACCGTGGGTTCAAAAAATGTGAGTAGAAAGCTGCAATGAGAAGGGTCATTACTGCAGAAGGATGGAAAGGCCCCATCCCTGTGCCAGTCTCCCACTTTAGGGCAGGATTGCATTCCCAGGGGTGGAGGAGCAGCCCACTGCTCCAACCCCGAGCTCCCCACACCACACACCTGATTCCCACTCTGAAGGGAAACAGCTTAAGACATGCTTGAAGCCCACTCACTCCTCACATCTTTCAGGACATCAGCGGGGCTGAATGACCCCGGCTGTGACGTGGAGAGGCAGGGGATGAGTTGCCCCACAGGCTTTCCCACGGAATCCTGCTCCGTGGTGCAACCCCAGCCCTGCAGGAACCGGAGCAGGCGATGGCAAGTGCACGAGCGTTAAAGTTGCTGTGGCTGTTGATGAAATTCTCCTTTTTTTTTTGTTCCACCAGCCTGGCCCTTCGAGCAGGAGACAGCAGCTGTAATGTCAGCGAGGGACCTCTTCCAAATCTCACGCAGGGATCTGCGGCCGCAGATCATCCCCTTGTCTCAACCAGCTCAAAGGGGAGACCAGCCAAGCAGGGTCTTCAAGAACACACTTGGCTCTCCACAGAGAGGGTTATTCACTTGCACCCCTCCCTGTCTGAGCGTGGGCTGGGGCTGTTGCCCCCTGCCAGCCTCACAGAGAGCAGAGAGGTCTGTGAAATCCCAAAACCATCCCCTTGGGCCAGGAGGGTTCCCTGCTTGGACATGTGTTAAATTCCCACAGGGCTCAAAGCCCCATTTCATATGGGCTCGAAAGGCATTGAAGTTAAGATGATTTTTCCCCCCTATTTTTGGGTTTGGCAGGGAGACTGTTTTCAGCAGGGAAAAGCTGCCTTGGCCCTGCCCTGGTCCCCATCCCACTCCTTGTTCCTTCCGTGAATTGCTGTAGGTCCATGTGGACTCAGCCTCAAGCTTTTTATTATTTTTTATTTATTTTTTATTTTTTTCCCTTTTTTCTTTTTTTTTCATTTTTTTTTCTTTTTTCTTTTTCCCTTTTTCCCCTATTTTTTCCTTTTTTCTTTTCTTTGATTTTTTCCTTTTTCCTTTTTTCTTTTATTTTTCCTTCTTTTTTCTTTTAAATTTTCTCCTTTTTTCTTTTTTCTTTTTTCCCTTTTATTTATTTTTCTTTTTTCTTTTTTCTTTTTTCTTTTTTCTTTTTTCTTTTTTCTTTTTT